GAATTAAGTTCGTGAACCGAGGTTCCACTGTACTATGACTTTCAAACTGATTTCTACAAATGAGTTCCTCTTTAAAAAGGGAAGTTTGGTTAAAATAGAAATGAAAGAAATGCCTTGGAGGAAGCATCCAAGGTTCTGGCCAAGGAAAATTCCTGGCTACAAATGGACCTAGCACCTATTCTAGTGAAAGTGAAAAAGTAATTGGATCTAAAATGGGATTTGCAAAAAGCATAGGTCTTATATATCCACGAGAGATCTTACAAGGAAGTGGTACACTAATTCTTTTCATTAAGACAACTTTTATCTACAATATAGAAAAAACATGATCATAGAGTTGGAAGGGACTGTCACTTTGTCCAGTATTTCTCAGCCTCCGCATGCTGGCTGGGAAATTCTGGGAGTTGAAACCCACACATTTTAAAATTGTCGAGGTTGAGAAACCCTGATCTAGTCCAATCCTGTGTGCAGTGCAGGGCCCGTTATACAATCTTCAACAGATGGCCATCCAGCCCCTGTTCAAAGACCTCCATTGAATTGGAATTTACCGCTTCATGTGGAAACCTGTTCCACTGGCTAACAGCTTGTATAGTCAAGAAGTTCCTTGCAAAGTCTACAGCGAACCTACTTCTATTGTATCTCCCCTTAGTTGTCTATCCTGAAGACTAAGGATACCCACACCCTTTAGCCATTCCTCTTAAGGCTGACTCCAGACCTCTCACCATCTTGGTAGCCTTCCTCTGAGCTCGCTCCAATTTACCACTGTCCTTTCTGAACGGTGGCATCCAGAATTGGATATAGTATTCCAAGTGGGATCTGACCAGGGTAGGGTGGTCAGAGCTAAATGTAGAACTTTGCACTATTCCCGCTTAAATTCCATCCTATTATTTCATCCACTGCTCAAGCTTCTCTAGATCTTTTAAAATTGTTTTTTTACTCTTTAAATTACTTGGCACTCTTTCCAGTTCTGCATCATCAGAAAACTTGATAAGCATCCTTTCAACTGTCATCAAGTCATGATAAAATGTTAAATATCATACAGCCCTGCAACACTCCACTTGATGTTTCAATCCAAGCTAAAGTGGAGCCATTAACAATCACTCGTTGGGTGCAGTCATTCAGCCAACTGAGTTCATCTTACAGCAGAATCAATCCCACATTTTACCATGTTATTAAGCAGAATATTGTGAGGTGCTCCACTGAAGGTTTTGCTAAGGCCTAGTTAAATTACGTGTACAGCATTCTTCTGAATGACTAAGAATGACTTTCTCTGAAAGACTACTATCAAAGGAAATAGTTAGTCTTATCAAAGAATGAAATAAGGTTTGATGGTGTCAAAAAACCCTGATAAGAACAGTACGTGTCCTTGTACGTGTCCTAAGGAATGATCAGGCCACTTAGTATGCTTTTTCTCCAAGGGAGAGGGTATCTGTATCTTTGTATGCTGAAGGTCTCAGGCACAAAAGCTACTATGCAGGATAGTGTTATTGCTGTTCAGGGGAGTGCCCGTGTCTTATGGTCCTAAAAGATGATCACCATCTCCTTCTATTTTGTTCTTGTTATGAAAGCCATCTGGGTGACTTTGGACCAGTCCCTCTCTCTCAGCCCTGGGAGGAAGTCCATGGCAAGCTACTTCTGAAAACTTGGCCAAGAAAATTGCAGGGGCTTGTTCATATAGTCACTATGAGTCAAGACTGACTTGGCTGGCTGGGGAGTTCTGGGAGTTGAAGTCCACACACCTTAAAGTTGCCAAGGTTGAGAAACACTGAGTTAGAGAATACAAAATGGGAGGAAGAAAGAGCCAGATATAATAAAGTTCATGGTCACATGTTCCCGGTCTTGTTGGGGATACGTGGAAGCCACCTTCACAGGAATGTGGAAATGTTTTTAAGTCTCTACCTTATATGATAAGGGAAAGTACTGCCTTCTAAACAGGGGTGGTTGGGTGGGGAGGGATGGCGGTGGTAGTGTGGGTTGGAAGACAGCAATGGAAATGCAAAAAAGTTTCCTTAGTCAATAATCAGCTGGGAGTAGTGCCTGGCAGGAAGACGGAGAATACGAACTGGGAACAGTCTGTGTTGGGAGAGGGTTAATTTCCACAAATTGTAGAGCCTTATGTCTCTACCTGTTGAAGAATCTTGGATCTGAATATGAGTTTCTGCCTTGTTCTATTGGTGAGTCTTCTATTTTTAAGGCTTAAGTTTCTGTACAGAAAGAGCAAATGTCCATTTTCTGTCCAGCAAGTTAGTAAGGATTATGGAGGAAAGAAAACTGATTTCCTTTTTCTTCTTTGTAGTCTGTGTAGCAACTGTTGATATACCTTCAGGAGATCTTTATTGGTTAACTTGCGACAGAACGAAAATTATGTCCACTACTTTCGTTGGCCTGGTGACAAAGCTCCTCTATCATGTGACAGTCAAGAGTATTATATGGCACCTCTACCTAGACTGGCAGAGGGCATCTCTGTACTGGCTTGAAAGTGGCAAACCCATCCAGTTCCATCCTCTGAGAAGTGGGCTAATCAAGGAAGTGTGGAATAGAAGCTGGACCAAAGATATCCTGTTAGTTCTGGATATAGGCTCCTGCAGTTTTTTCTGGACGTCAGAAGATATGGGTAATGGAATCATTATCTATGGAGATTTGGCTAAAATATGAAACAGCATGGAAGTGTAGTACCAACCTACAATTTCTCTCATTCCAATTTGATTTTCTTATAATAGCACGTATTTACATTTGACTAGCTCAGTGTTTCTCAACCATGGAAACTTTAAGATGTGTGGACTTCAACTCCCAGAACTCCCATGCTGGCTGGGGAATTCTAAGAGTTGAAGTCCATACATCTTAAAGTTCCCAAGGTTGAGAAACACTGGACTAGCTATAGAACAAGTTATGTTCGTGGCAAGAGTTAGAATGAGCTGTTTAGCCCACCAGGTCCCAGCATGCTAGCTGGGGAATTTTGGGAGTTGAAGTCCACATGCCTTAAAGTTGCCAAAGTTGAGAAACACTGCTCTAGAAATGGGAAGCAGAAACCCCCCTGGAATATCATCTTTATGGGAAAGATATCCTCACTGTAAGATACTTCAAAGCCACTTTATTACAGTGTTCATATGAAAATGTTAGATCTGGCAACTGGTTGAGGCTTTAAAGTTAGTCTATTCAATTCATTGCTTCTAGAAAGTGGATATACACCTGGAATATTTGCCTCTAACTGTCACAAAGGGTTTCTAACATCTGCACACGTTTTGTTGTTACAGTGCCTAAGGTACTGAATATCATCACGCACCAGACACCTAATTTGAAGCAGAGATGGCCCCACGGAGTGGCTGCTGCTTATAGGCCTTACCTGGTGACATTCAACGACACAGCACTTACAGTCTGGAACAGGAAGTCAATGGAGCCCTCCAGTGTGCAAGTAGCTAATGTACAAAAGGCGCTGTTCATCTTTGACACAGATTTGAAAAGTGGTAAGTAGAGGTCTGGGGAAGTCCCCTGCCTCTCCAGTGAATAGCAGGTGATGGCCAGGCAGAAATCTTTGTCTTGGAGAACAATTTCCAGTTTGACAGTAGGCAGACTGGATTGGTACAGGGTGGCTTCCTATCTACTAAAGTGATTTCTGTAGGGCCGGTCCATATCCGCATGTCTCAGGGAAGGAAGGCAGATGCTTAAAGTTGATCTTGGCTTTCGTTGCTGCCTTCCTGTGTTTCGTGGCCTTAGTAGCCCCTGGAAGGGAGCAGTGACTAACATCTTCATGGAACTGGGGAGAGGGTGAAAAAGAAACTAGAAACAAATGATAATGCAGCCTGTTACTTTGGTTCTGACCTCAGTTCCTCTGGGTGTCCATTAAAAATTACAGTCCTGAAGTTTCAGCCAAGACTTGAGTGCTGGCAATCATGCTTGAACTGAAAGGGCTGTGTTGTTGCTTGCCTCAAAGTGGGCAGAAAATGCTCAGCAGAGTAGAGGTAAAATGGCCGTCCAGTGTTATAATGCTTGACAACTGTCCTAGCAGTACAGAGTAGCCATGGTGGAGCACCCTACCGAGATAAGTTGTAACCTGGGAACCAGAGACAGGAGGTTATCGGAAGGAGTGCTCCATGCATTAGTTCTCCCACCCTCAGAAGACCTAAGTTTGTGAGAGAAGAAAATCATGTGTGTCACACAGTGAATGTTGTTAGATCACAAAAGAGAGAGAGAGAGAAAAGACAAAGCTTCAAGTCTCTGGTAGTCACTGAATTCTTTGTATTGGTGATTTGCCGCCTCCTAACAAAAAACTAATTTGATCATGAAGTTCAAAAAGTTAATGTACCTTTTTTTAATTTATTTGTCTATCTACAAAGACTAGTATTTGCATTTTTGTTTTGTGCTTTCAAGTCAGACTTGACAAGTGACTGGACAAGTCCCTGCAGTTTTCTGGGCAAGATTTTCAGAAGTGGTTTGCCATTGCCAAGGGACTGGCTCAAAATCACCCAGCGAGCTTCTGTACCTAAGACAGAACTAGAACTCACAGTCTCCAACCTGGTGCTTTTAATCACTACACCAAACTAGATCTCAGTATCTAAGTAGGAAAGGAAAATAGGTCATAATGGGTATTTTGCTAACATTTCTGTTGTTATTCGTATGAATTAATTTGGACTAGTAACTTTTTAGGAATAATAATTTAGTAATAATTAGAAGTGTGTACGCTGATAGCTAAAAAACTCTTATTACTGCAGAATTCTACTATAAAAGTAATTTGATAGTTCTCTGATTCACCATCCTAAACCCAAGGACTGTCTTGGCTTAGTGTGTAAAATATGTTTTGATATGGCTTGATTTATTTGATATGCTGTGTCTGTTCTGTACCTTTATACTGATGTAATGCTATGTTGTTATCGTATATTTTAAATAAGAGAGAACAAACTAGATTCTATCTTTTTCTTTTAAATGACTGATCCTTAAGAACATAGGTGAAACATTTTCATTCTAATGTAAAGGCTTGTAACACCTTTCAATTTTTTGAGTGGGATTGAAATACCCAAGAGGAGATATGACCCATATCGGCTGAATGCAGCTTTCCTGGGTTTTTAGGCAACTAGTCCATTTTTCCACCGAAGAGAAGAAAAATTATTGTCAAATGTAGGAACTATAGTACTATATAAATCAACACACAAAGAACTGAAATTAACCTTTTTAGCTGCAATTCAACTTTTTTAGCTGCATCGCAAATGGTTCCTGTTACAAATCTGACTGTTGGGTTGCTGCATACTATGACTAGAGCAGTTCCACTGACAAGACTGGTGACAGCTGTGCCCAGGACTACGTCTATTACAACAGTGGCAATTTCTACACCTACTGTGAAGGCCGGACTCGTGCCAGCTCTGGTCTGTGGATGGGCAGAATTACTTTGCCAGAATGGAAAAGAGTGTGTTTCCTATGAATACATTTGTGATGGGGACAAAGATTGTTCAGATGGGTCTGATGAAGAGGGCTGTTCCGAGTTCTGTAATAACCCAGGTATTAAGTTCTCACAGTTGGACACAAAACATTGGGCTCCTGTTATTTCACCAATTTTGTTCTGAGATATTTGATCTGCAGTAGGTGGCTTGGAGCATAAGGAATAGGCACTGCACTGGCCGCCTCTATGTTCCGAATACAATTCAACATGCTGGTTTTGGCCTATATGACGGGTCCAGGTTATTTGGGGATCATTTTCTCTGGGTAGAATCTGTCCATCTTGTGCAATTAACCTGCAAAAGGATGCTTTGGATTCCCTCTTGGCAAGATATTAGGGAGGTGGGAGCCAGAAATTAGTCTTTGTCTGTGGCTAGCCAGCTCTTTGAAATAGTTGCCCCCAGTGGTTTGGATGGTTCCCACACTTTTAGCTTGTAGGAAGGTGATGAGAATTGTGCTTTTCCACCACATGTTTGGGGCTTATGTGTTACTTCACTGCTTGGTTTTCATCTTAATTTTATTGTCAATTTTAACTTTTAACCTTTAGTTATTGTTTCTGTTGTTTGGGGATTTACATGTGAGCTGCCAGAAGTCTATGGGGTATGACGTACGTCAGGTAGTAACTAAAATAAATCATCTCATGATCCATACCACATACAGCACTTAAAGAGCAGATGGAGAAACTCTTAACCTAATGAAATTAGACAATCTTGACAAATGTGGTTAAATACTTCATCAAAGGCAGGCTTGCTTAAATGATTGAAACCTACTCTTACTGAATATGGCAACTAGCTTTGTAGATAGTCTGTACTGAGATCGGTTCAATAGGAAAAAAGGAGCATGGAGACGTTTGTAACTAGAAATGCCTGAAAATAGAGCTTGTTGTATTGTGTCCCTCTTAAAGGAGTCTTCCAGTGCCTGAGTGGCCACAAGTGTATTAACGAGAAGTACCAGTGTGATGGGATACAACATTGCCCTGATGGCTCTGATGAATCTAACTGCTGGGTGCCAACACCCCTCTGTGCTTTACGTTGTGATGACAACACTCGCTGCATGCCTGAGAGTTGGTTGTGCGATGGGGACTCAGACTGCATTGATGAGGCAGATGAAAGAAACTGCGGTAAGCCAATGTAGGAAAGGCAGAGATGCCTAAGAGGGAACAACTGATTTTCAGATTGTTGGCTTTCTAGGCAAGTTGCAGTTGGAGTAAACAGGAAATGCTCTGAAATACATTTGAAGCTACTTGGATAGATGATTGGGGGCCAGGTGCCACATAAATGCTAGTGATACCCAGTTCTATTTTTCCTTGTCACTGAAGTCAGGTGAGAACTTGAGGGGGCTAGGTTTGGATGTAGGTTAATCAACATAGATAGCGTCCCAACAAGATGAAAGTCCTTTTGGGCTGAAGTAGATAAATAATCTGTACTGGATGGGATTGCTGTCCCCATGAAGGAACAGGTTAGGAATATTTTTCTAATACAGCTTTGTCCCTTGAAACTTGCTTGGCTTCAGTAGTAAGAAGTGACTTTACTCAGTTTAGCCGAAGTACCAGCAGTCCCAGACATGGGCAGCCTGGCTTGAGTGACTCCATCTAATAACCTCTTCACTGGTTTATGGTAATGCCTTTTAAAAAATATGGGATGCCTTTTAAAAAAAGAAACCAACAGGAAGCTATAGTTAGTCCAAAATGCTGCTGCCAGGAATAGATGGTGGGGTTCATGTAACGCTAAACGTAAAGGGCTCTGTTGGTTGTGTATTTGTTTCTGAGCCAAATTTAAAGTGGTGGCATAGACCTACACTGCCTAAACGTCTCATATAGCTAAGAACATGAGCAAGGGTGCTGATATGGGAAAAGGGCTTCCTTCAGAAATCTCTTGCTCATGTTCTTAGTTATATGAGGTGAAGACAGCGCCTCCATCTCATCAGTAGGGAAAATCCACTGAGAGGTGATACGACCAGCAGCTTCAGTGTATTGAGTAGAATACAACAGTATCTCAAGACCCATATGAATAGCTGAAATCCATTATAACAAATGTGGGATCTGTGGCAAATGCACTGTAGGTTTTATTTATGTTGAGTGATACTTCATTTTCGTGTTTGTTAATATGCTACTTGTTTGTTTTGGTGCCTTTGAGTCAGTGTTGACTCCTGGCGAGGTTCCTGCAGATTTTTTTGGCAAGATTTCAGAAGTGGTTTGCTTTTGCCTGCTTCCCAGGGCTGAGAGAGAGGGACTGGCCCAAGGCTATCCAGCTGGCTTTGTGCCTAAGGCAGGACTAGAACTCACAATCTCCCGGTTTCTAGCTTGATCCTTAACCACTACATCAAACTGGCTCTCCACCAAATATGTTGCTTGCCCTGGGCTATTTTTTGTGATAGGCCACAAAAGCAAAATGAACCATGATTTGCTTTTCCCTGCATGTACCACTAAAGACTTGCACACCAAGTTAAAATGCTACAGATTGCCTTGTGGAAACCACATTTTGAACTTAACAGAGGGCTTGGGGAACATATAAGGCAGGCACTACCTCAACCGTAGTAACTGTGGCTCTTTTATGGTTGAGAGCAGTAGCTTCCTAACTCATGTTCTGTACTCATAGAACTAGAATGTTTCATCAAGATACTTAAAGACCTGACATGAACTTACTTATCAACTTACATCAACTCTAGGTATCTTAACACAAACAAAGGCAGAGTGATGTCTGAGGACACTTTTAAAGTGAGTGACAGCCCTGTTGCTCCATGTGAAAATATTCCCAGATTAATCATTGAGTAATATCTTTGTGTAGTCCAGCCAAAATGTTATAAAAGAGTGTGCCAATTTGGGGGCTCCAGACTTCTTCATCAAGCAAGATGTACTCTCCTATTGTCTTCTAGACATACTATCTTAAGAGAATGATTGAAGTTTCTTCCCCATTATAATCCTCAAACTGAGGATGAACTAAAGGTATTGGGAAATATTTTTTAAAATCTTTAATCTGCTGGGATTTAGAGCAAATAAAATATTTTTAGTGCTTTACTCATACTTCCATTTGGGCAAAGATGAGAAAGATAAGCTTTTGTGTCACTTTCCGTGACAATCATGGTAGTTAAGACCCAGCGTTGGCACCTGTTTGTTCACCTGTGCTAATAAATGTAAATGTGTTTCAGTTGTTTATGAATTTCATATTGTGCAAGATTCCAGCTATCTATATTTTATTGAAATTTTAAAACATTACAATTACATCTTCATAAAACATTTCATATTAGTAGCATATACGGACACACAAATGTACAGTATATAATAGAAAAGAAAGCCTAGAAAACAAAGAAAAACAAAAACACAAACAAAAATTAATAAAAATACCAGACTTTTCAGATTCAAAATTATACTTGTTTTTTGAAAATTTTGTTATCCAATATTTTAATGGTGAATTTTACCCTAAAATCACATGTAATCATATTGGCCTTGCTTCTCCTTTGATACAGAATTAATTAGAAGGTGAGAACTCAATATATCACAAGCTCTTCATAAACTGAGAAAATCCAGATTTGGGGGATAGCATTTTTAAAAATATTAACATCTTTGTCCTTTAAATTCCTTCTGAGGACCTAATATTCAATAGTAATAATACCTAATCAATAAATAATTACTAGTGGGCAAATCCATAACACGTGCACTAAAGTTTCTTCAAATGTGTGTCATTTCCAACCTATAAAGGATGACAGTCAACCTTTTAAAAATATCCTTTAAGGAGTCCAAAAAAATTGAAGCCATTGATTGGGCGATTTGAGATGTTCTAATTCTCTATTCCCGGTTTCCAAATTTGTTTTTGTAATTTTTTTTAAATTTTATGATGATAATGGTTTAGGTTCAATAACGATCTTCTCCAATACACTCAATACTCTGGAGTTTCAGAGGCCATAAAAGCATCTGTAAAGTTCCTGGCTACCCCACTTCCATGGTTTCCTCTAGAATTTCTTTACCAAGATCTTGTTGAAACACCTTGAGATAAGGTTACAGCACTCTCAGCAACTAGATTTTTTTCCTCTCTCTCAGAATTCAGTTTGTCTCCCAGATTCATAGGTTTCTTACCCATGTCTCTAGTATGAATTGGTAAAGAGGGTTTATGGAAAATATCTAGCTGGCTAGAATATGATTTTTCAAAATTCTAAATATATTTTAAACGTTAATGGCCAAACAAGGAACATAGCAAATTTTTTGCTGTATCTATTATTATTTTGCCATTTAAGGTAAATTGCAGCCCTTTTATAAAATCTCAAAGGTTTTAACAGCATTGTTACTTATTAATTGATTCTCTCTGCCTGCCTAGGTTTTTGGGGCGGGGTGTTGAAACAAGGGAGGGTTAAATGTTATTGTCTGCTTGCAGCTCAGGTCAAATGTGATCACCTGCACTTCCAATGTAGAAGTGGCCAATGTGTTTCTTATCTCTTGCGCTGTGATGGAAATTATAACTGCAAGGACCACTCGGATGAAGAAGACTGCCCAATCTTCAAACAACTACTCTGCTATGCGGATGAAGCCAAATGCCTTAAAAGTGGAGAATGCATCCTAAAGCAGTGGCTCTGTGATGGGGATCTGGACTGCAAAGATGGGTCAGATGAGCAGGTACAAATGGCTAGGAGTGTCTGTGTCCTTGGGCCATGGAGTGGACCATTTAAGCCGCATCGTAGCAGTGAAAAAGTAAAGCAAGCTAGCTGTCCCTTTGCTAAACAGGACAACATGGTCCCATCTCAACCACTCAGCAGCTGGATTAAGCTACTGGGCACTCCAGTACCCTTACTGCCTTAAGTTAGAGTTAAGTAACCTAAAGTGAGACGCTTATTTCCTGATATCCCTCAAGATGTATAGCTCTTGGCGAGATTGAAAGACTCAGTCACTGCTAGTACACAGCATATTCCTATTCATGGTCACCCAATGTCCCTGAACTGCTACAGATGCTGTTTCTTTCCAAAGGTGTATGTATGGGTAGACTTATAAACAAGTCAGAACAGGCAGGAGCAAACAGTCCTGCCCCTTCCACCAATAGCAGCCAGTTTTCAGGTTTCCTCTCAGAATTGCCCACCAGTCCCCAAAAGTTCTTTGTTCTCCTGTAAAGTAAAGCTCGGATAACATTTTTTACAGCAATATAGCCATTTGCCAGCCAACTCCCCAAGTATTTCAAATGTTCTCAGCTCCATTCCTAGCTGGCAAAACCTCATTGCTGCACAAGAGCAGTGCTTGATTGATTGATTTTTTGCAGGACTGTGAATTTTCAATGAAACAATGTGGTGCCCACCAGTGGCAGTGTAGCAACTCATCACAGTGTATCCCAGACCAATGGAAATGTGATAGGGAACGTGACTGCAGAGACGGGAGCGATGAGATTGGATGTATGTAAGCACTCTTCATTCCGGCAGCTGGTGCGATGGTCTTGCTCTTTGGAATCAAATGGTGGGAGGGATCTGTCCTTCCTGCGAGGCATTGGCTTAACAGAGGAGCACCTCTGCGGTTCTGCAAAACAAGAGCCAACGTACATACAATGGCAGGAGTCCTATATTAGTTTTCAAACTTTTGGTCTGGTGTCCAGTGGAGCTGAAATTTAAACTGTAACGGTGATGGTAGGACACCTCACTCTCACCACCCTTCTGCCATACCTTGCAGTTTATTCCCATTTGTGCTTGCCAGATGGTTGAGCTCATCTGGAGAAAGGATTGCAGCCAACATCACTGCATGTTCTTCTTACCTACCCTGTTCCAAGTCAACTGAGTGAAAAGATACAACGTACTGTATCTATATATCGAATTGGAATTATGCTTAATTAGACCTAAATAGTTACTTTGTATTTAATTGCACTGAAACTACAATCTTGAAGCCCTCTTTGCTTTTTCACAGGCAAGCCCAGGAACTGCTACAGCTATGAATTTCAGTGTGGCGAAACGTGTATCAATTACACTTTGGTCTGCAATGGGAAACCCGATTGCCGAGGCGGGATGGATGAAGGCAGCAATTGTGCCATGCCGTGCCAAAAATCATGCCCTCACACTTGTTATAAAACTCCTAGTGGGCCTGTAAGTAAAGAGCAACATTGGAATAACACGTTTTAAAATGAATATACTGTAGAAGCAAAACAGTGGGTTAAGGAGAGTTTGCTGCTTCCTAGGCTCTATTCCAAAATTATTTTAAAGCAGGAAGAGTAGGTGGCCACTCTCAAATAATAATACAGTAGGGACTCATCTCTACTATAATAGCAACAGGCTTTGTCATCTTAGGTTAAAAAATTCACAAGGATGGTGATTGTAGCCATGAGATAATGAGAAACACTTGGGGGGGGGAAGACTGACAGATCTGGGCAAAGTATTAAAATGCAGAGGCATCATGCTGGCAACAAAGGTCCATATTGTCAAGACTGTAGTTTCCCAGTTGCAATATATGATTAAAAGCTTGATTATCAGAATCAAGCTTTATTAGCTGAATAAAAAAGAGGCAAGGCTTTAAAACTGTGGTTCTAGAGAACATTTCTGAGAATGCCTTGGACTGCGAGAGCCAATAATTTAAAACTAGGTAAAGGAAAATAGATTGTTCACTGGAAGTGTTGCTAAATTAAATTAAACATTTTGAACAGGCAGTACAAAGACAAGACTTGTTGAAGTCCCTGATGCTTGGAAAAATGGCAGGTAATAGAAAAAGAGGCCAAACAACAGCTTGGGTAGCTAAATTGTCTTGCTGATGACACAATCATAATTTGACAAGAACTCAGAGCAGTTCCTGACAGATAATCTTGGCAAAATGATGATTATCAGGGCATGACAGCAACAAAAATCAATGCAACCAGATTGAAAGTATAAAATGTGGAAAGAAGGGAGCCATGATGTAACCTTAGAGAGAGAGGATAAAATATAAATGCATTTATAACTGCTGTCAAGGAGAGTGGAAGCCACTTCTTTATATCTTTTGTTCTTTTTATTTTCCTTTCTTTCCTTGTTTTTTTTTCTTTCATTTCTTTTCTATTTACTTATCACTTTTCCTTTCCTTTCCTTTTTCTTTAAATTTGTATTGTTTTTACTTCGTAAAAAATTCTTCAGTAAACATTAATTGGAGATAACCAATGTAATCTTATGTAGTATTTAACTGCATCCTTGCAAACTAAATCCCAGTTTGTATTTGATCGTCAGGACTCTGTGTTACCAGCAGCAACCCTTGGAGTATGGGGTGGGGAGAAGGAGGGGTGTGTGAAAATTTAGGTTGATCATGTGGAGTCCTTGGGGTTCTCTGAGCTTGGTTCTTTTCTTGCAAAGGTTTCATTACCCATCTTCAGTGCTAAAATGGGTTGGGTTTGCTCTCTATTTATATACTGTGGCCTGCCTTGCCAGTGCTGGTGGAGGTTTTGCTCCTCTGGTAGTTCCTTGATTAGTACATGTTGACTGCTTGATTGTGTGTCTGGTGGTATCCTTTGCTTATCTGGGTGATGCTTGCTGGTGAGATGATCTTCTGGTCTTTTGTCTCTTTTGAATAGTATGTAGATGCTGTTTATCTCTATGTGTCTGTTAATTGCTGCCTTGTCTGTATATTCTTACAGACACAGTCTGTATGCCTTGTCTGTAATATTCACCTCTATTAGGCTGATCATGCCTGTTTTCTCTTTTTCAGAAATGTCCTTGCAACGAGGGGTTCAGGCTAAGCAGTGATGGACGCTCTTGCAAAGACATCAATGAATGTAAAGAGTTGCCAAATGATAAATGTAGCCAGACCTGTGTCAATACAGGTGGCAGCTACCGCTGCACGTGCCACCCTGGGTATTTGTTGGAACCTGATGGTCACACATGCAAAGTAGTTGGTAAGACTCCTCATGTTTACCAATTGGCCTTCCTATTGATTATCTGTATGACTCAAAATTAGTGAACACATAAACCTTTTCTGAAGTCAGATGTAACATAGAAAGCTTTGCCTTCTGGTTAAGAAGCCCTAGAAATCAGTTCTTTTGGCTTCGCAGCTAAAAATCTCCTGACTTCCTAGATCAGGGTTTCCCAAACTGAGGGGTCCCTCCCTTGAGGAGGTACAGACAGAGTCCAGGGGAGGTAAGAAGAAACGTTTAGTTGTACATTGTTACAGTAAATCCCCCTTTCCCGAAGTTTCATTGTATTGTTTTCATTGTTCCTTTGTGTTCATTTTGGTGTTTGGATTTTTAGGGGAGGTGTGTACAATTAGATTACACTAAAGGGGAGATGTGATGGCAAAAGTTTAGAAACCCCTGCCCTAAATGGTGATCTCATATAGATCTACTAAAAGCAATCTTTCCTGCTAGGACTGCAGCTACAAGTACAGGAAGAAAAATGTAATCTAACACAATAATGTACTCATAATGAAATATAAATGCTCCAGGTAGGGTGCATAGTTGTTCAGTGTTTTCATTCTGCAGTGATCCTGTTTGAATTTCTAAATTTCAGCCAGTTTAATGCATATGCATATTAACAGATGTGCAAAATATTCTGAGTTTGAAATGTTCAAAACAGGCATGGGTTCTGAGCTAGGGACAAAAAAGTGTCTTCAGTTTTATGCCATTTCATATTCTGCCCTAGGAAAATATAGAAACTCAGATCACATCGCCATGCCTTATATGTAATCCTTGGTCCACAAATGATATAACCTGCAGTAAAATCAGCAAAAGCAACAGTTTTTCTAAAACTCAGTTCTTATAACAAAAAATGGAAGTTAATGGCCATTCTGCAGCCAGCAGCCTGTTGGCCCTAGGAATTAAAAACAAAAAATAATACCACCTTTAGGAATTTCTCTGTAGGGCTGGATAGCAGGTAACATTCAGTATGGATGACTTTGGTGGCTCTAGGGGGAAAAACCTAAGGGAGCAAAGAACTGAGCTTTCATAGTTCCCTATAGCAGAATATTACATTTACTTAAACAGAAGACAAGCCTGAATTTAAGAGAAGGTCTCCATAAAAGAAAAAGTAGACAGAAAACAGGCAAAAATCATGGGGGTTGCCCAGCTTCCCCGTGTTTTCATTTTAGGATTGCCACTTCAGGCTAATCTTCAAAGGCATCCATCAGTCTGAAGTCATTTGTACTCTAGACCATTGTTTGATTAATAGCTTCTGTTCTTTACAGCGAACACAAGACAACCCACACTCTTGGTATATAATGAAATGTTTTGAATTTTGTCTCAAGTGTTTTTGGAATCTTTCTGTTTTGTGTGTATATTTATTTGTTATGTCTAAATTTGAGCACAGTGCTAAATAACAGGAGATGAAGAATAGGGTGGAAAGAATGAACGCCATCACTCTTGGAATGGCAACTTGTTGAAGCACCTTCCTATCTCTTCTCCCTCAATTCACATAGCCGTGAGGTTGCAATATACACATATTTCGCATGGAAAGGTAACTATTTTTGTCTTTGCCATAGGCTCCGAGCCAGCACTGCTAGTTGCAGTTCAGTTTGACTTGCTTCTATATGGATTAAAGACCATGAAAGAGGATCTTATCTTCAGAGTTGATCAGGACATCATTATCTTTTCCATTGACTATGATTTTGTAACACAGAACATTTTTTGGATGGATCTTAACGCAGAAAGTATTAAGTGGGTTAATATGAAAACCAAGGAAAAGGGAACTTTAATAAAAGGTTGGTCTTAATATATTTTCAGACGTTTGTACATTTAAAAAAAATCAGTGGCTTGGGACAAAACTAACTTTAATTGTAACTTGGGTGAGTTAAAATATTGGCAGAACTCATATTTGACTGTTGAATCTGACTCAAACTCTCGCATGGTCATGAAACCTCATAGGTTCACTTGATACAAGGTGTACATTCAGACCCATCTGTATTTAAAAGGTGGCCAGAGCTCTGAGAATAAACCAAGGAAAAATTGAGCGCTCACATTTCCAAACTGATAACTTTTAACAGTATAATAAACTAACTTTGAGAAATAGCAATGTGCCTCATGTAGGTTCACAGATCTAATCCTACCTGCAGGTTCTAGCTGACAGATTGAAGGAAAGATTCCATCAAGCTCCTCAGAGAAGAAAACATACAAGTTGACAAAGTCTCACACCACAGATGAGGTTTTCCTACCCTAGTAAATTCCCTCGTGAATGACAAAGGAAGATTGAGTATATGTCATCTGATGACAACTGCTCAGAAGGCCAAGAATCCCTTGCTGTAGGGTTGATGATGGTTGAAATCTGCAACTTCCAGTCTATAAATGTAAAGGCAATCTGACTGCCTCCTCCAGTGTACACTAATATAGAGGGACAATAATAAAAGAGTTGGCCCCTAAAATGCACCCTTTTATGGTAATTGGTCAAGGATGAGTATTTTTGAGGATTGTCTGAGAGGAAGATGGATTTCAAGCACTGTGAAAAATGAACAATCTACCCTGAGCTGAGTATTAACTGTTTAGCATTAAACCAGAGGCATTCAACATGAAAGCTTCTGAACAGCTCTGTCTTTTCTCTTGTATGGCTATTTAAAGAAAGAACTTGTAATGAAGTTCTGCTTTATAGTTACTTACTAATAGTAGATGTTGACTGATATATCCTGCCCAATATTTTTGTAAATCCTAGCAATAGACTATTGATCACCAAAGGTTGGTAGATAAAAGCAAAAATAAATTTGGTTATCATGAAAGCTGGAATGCAACATAGCTGAATATGAAAAAATACTTCATTTTCTGGCCTTGTGGCCTAGCTTTTTTGACAGGCTGGAAACCTGAGTAGGTTCACTTCTGTTATTTCAAAAATCTGATTTCAGGGATCAAATCTGACAGTATAGCAGTGGACTGGTTAGGAAGGAATCTTTACTGGACTGATGGTAGAGCAGGACAGATCTTGGCTACGTGGTTAAATAGTACTTGGAAGGGAAATCCTGTCTACACCATGGTTCTTGATGATCTGGAGCAACCACGGTCACTAGCTCTCCACCCACTGGATGGGTAAGCCTTTTGTATTTTGCTTGTGCAAAGCCTGGCCTTGTTGGATTGGTTTAAAAGAACTAGAAATATATCTCAGAAATGAAGTGGATAGATGACTCCATCCACAATTAGCAACTATTGTGAAGTCACTAATGTTGTCGTCTTAGGGAAGATATTTGAGAGGGTGGCTGTTGTACAATAGTAGATACTCTTGAAGGAAACATTGTCTGGGCTCATGCTAATGGGAGGTCAGGTCTGTCTGATTGTGGGATTGAATCATAATTGATAAGGCAGGGGAAGAAATTAGGAGTACAGACTTATTGATTCTGCTTGATTGTTCACAGCTTTTGATATTGCTGATCATGGGATTTCCCTGGCCTGGCTAGGCACAATTGTTCTGCTGCCTGTCCATAAGGCTGTGCACCATAAAAGCACTGGATGGGCATACCTTGGCAGTTCCCTTAAAGGGTTATTCAGTGTCTGTAATAGTTTCATCGTTAGGCTGATGATGCCCAGCTTAAATTACCTTGTCATCAGAGTCAGGTGAAGCTGTGCAGGCCCTGTTCCATGTCTGAGTAGGATGGGATAGGTGAGGAATACTAAGCTGAGGTTGAATCCTGAAGGATTGTTTTGTGGACAAGACGGAGTTGCACTCTCCTGAAGGAGCTGACGTATGACTTGAGCTTTCACTGTGAAGGAGTGCCTTTTCCAACTCCACCTAATTTGCCAGCTATGGCAGGACAGAGATACCCTAACCACAGGAATCCATTCACTCGTAACCTCAAGACAGGCTATTGCAAAGCTCTTCATACAAGGCTACTCTGAAGTTCGCCAGAAGTTGAATTAGTGCAAGATACTCTTACAGATTGGAAGAGGCTGTCTCACAGAATTAGCAAACATTACATATCTATTTTGAAAGCACACACTGGCTGCCAGTTTGCTACCAGGCAGAGTTCCTCAAACTTGTGCTATAAAGCACTGTGTGCCTTAAACCAGCACACCTGATAGAGGGCCTACTCCCATAAGTTCCTATTTATCAACTAAAGCTAGAAAGGATGCCTTTTTCAGGATGCTTCATTGGCTGAATATTTGCTAGGTCAGAAGCGGGTATTTTCAGCACAAGTGCTGGGTTGCAGAATTCCCTCCCTTTTCACATGAGGGTTGCAGTAAGCCTTTTAAACCTCCAAGCCAGTTTAAAACATATCCATTCATCCAGGCTTTTGCTTAAACTGGCATGGCTCTGCCAGTCTGGTCCGGTATTGTTTCAGGTTTTAAAGTTGTTTAAATTTAAAAAAAAAATTAATATGTTTCTTGGAGTTTTTATTGAATCATTATTTTTGTTTAAATGGTTCCTTGCTGTTCTCCTTTACTGATGAGAGAGCTAAATTAGAGCCTTTAATAGCATGTTGCACCACTTGAATTTTATATTTTGGTTTCACTTTTGTAAGTGACCCTGGTTATTCTTACCTGCTGAAATAAATTCACACAGAAACACGCATAGACACACACAGTGCATCATTCATACGCATTAGATCTGGCCCCTACCTTGGGAATGGCATGGATTTTCAAAATGAAGACTTGACCCAGATTATCAGAAATAAATGGTAAATAACATCTTATTAATTTAGTTTGGCTGTAATACTGTATAAATGCAAATAGATTGGCCCACATGGTCTGAAGGCTACTTTCCTCAACTTTGACCTCATATGTATTAAACTTTAATACAGTATCCCCCCACCCAACCTCCATGCTTAATGGGGGCTAAAGTACATGATGACATAATTGTGCCGAAACGAAGTGTTTGTAGATCTGATGCATGACTGGATAGAAAGACAGTGGTGATCTGACTTCAAATTCCAAAGAGTAGGATTCAAATGAAGAGACATTAGCAACAATGACCTGACATTAAAGTTCTCCTAGATTAAAATCATCTGAAAGAGGAGTGGGATACTTTGTCTGGTACCCTAAAGGAGATGTGCAATGAAAGCCAACTAACATGGCAGTGTGATAACCCTTCTAGAAAGCACTGTAAGCTGTAGTGATTGAATTCCATTCTATAAAAGTATATAACATTATCTTCCCTTTCCCAGATTTATGTATTGGTGTGAAATAGGCATTGAATCCAAAATAGAGAAAGCAGGGATGGATGGAAGTAATAGAAAAGTGCTAATTGATGATGGACTTGGTTGGCCCACCAGCATAGCCATTGACTTCTTGAGCTGGAGAATTTTCTGGTCTGATGACAAGTTTCACTGCATTGGCTCAGCCTTTTTGGATGGTAATGATATGAAGGTATTGTGCACTGTACATAAACTTGTCTAAGCTGGAAGCAGGCAAGAGTTTATTCAAGTTATTTGTTCCTAAGGGAAAGAGTCATTTCTCATAATGTGATAATCTTGCTCTGCTGTGGGTAGCATTCTGTATTCTTACAGAATTCTGTATCTGACCAGAGCTGAAATAAATGTGGGTAGCAGTGCCTGTCAAACTTCCAAATCTTTTTGCTTAGCTGAAATAAAATCTCAGTCCCTGAGTTGTGATACACCTCTTGACAACAGCATTTTTCTCTCAGGTTTTTCAGCTGAGTGAGATTCACAGTCCCTTCTCAGTGAGTATCTTTGAAGACTCCATCTATTGGTCTGACATGCAAACAAGGATAGTACAGAAGATAGACAAAAGGACAGCCAAAAATAGAACCGTTCTCCTCAAGAGCCATGGACAACCTTATGGGCTAAAGGTATTATTTAAAGAATACACATTAGGGAAAGGTTGATCACTGGAACAAGTACCTATTTTTATTTTATTTTGCCAAGGAGATTCTGTAGTTTGGAAAGAATAAATGAAAACAAGTTTATCTGGCCTGGGTCTTCATTTCTTAGCATCTATTTGAGCCAAGCCCCGTATTTTGCCAGACTAAGGCTGCTGCAAAACTGATCAGTATTGTACTGATAACAGAATTTTGACTAAGAATAAGGTATATACAGGCAATAGCATGGTTTGTTGCCCTAACTGAAAGTTAGAAGAAAACTACATCTAAACCATACTTTAAGGAAGAAGGCCTTCTTCATTCCAGTAAAAGTCCCTGATTTAGGCATTTCTTGCTAAGTTAGTTGCCCTTAAAATCCTTGAAATAATTTCAAACTTAGGAGTATTTGCAAGAGGCCTGGCTTATTAAAATAAGGTTTATCCAGTAGTAGATAGGATCAGTGCAAGGTATGTTAATATTACTAGGTCTTTCATCTGGATCATGTAAATATTTAGTTATCTGTTAGGAAGGCCAACTTGAACTGCACTCCATTCATCCAAGACCATATTCTTTGCTTGGAGCTTGAAGCTGTTCAAGTAAACTCAGGCGCAATCCAGGAAAGCAGGAAAATAACATGATTGAATCTGCTGTTACACCTGTATTTGCTCTCCTTTCTTTTCATCCCTTTGCCCAGGAATACCTTTAGCTGTTTTCTCACTCTGTAGTTCTAAGCCTTTTCAGACCCTTTAGACGAGTGTTTTTCAAACTTGGCAACTTTAAGATGTGTGGACTTCAGCTCCCAGAATTCCCCAGCCAGCCTGCTGGCTGGGGAATTCTGGGAGC